CTGGTGCACTTTGCATTTCCACATGGTCTTGTACTAAGGTTCTGTACGTAGTAGGTCTCTTGTGAGAAAAGCAGGTTTTATTCTCTTAATTCCCATAACTAAAAATGATGCTGTTCTTGAAATGTATTGCACAATTATTACTTGCATAAGTAGCATGCATCTATCTTTGCAACTTCTGGGTCTTAATTACTCATTTAAGTATGTGGTAGAGCCAAGAACTAACCCCAGATTTTGTGAGGTCTTTGGGTTTTGGCCCCTTGGAACACGGCTAGGGCAAGCAATGGCAGAGATAACATATGACCACAAGTACTTTGTTCTTTTAAAGCATGTTAAAGCTGTCTCTCAAACTACTTCATTTGTACTCTAAAATGCTTCTGTGATATAAGAACAGCAAAAATCCACCTTTTAACAGAAGTTAGTATTTCTGCCTTTGTCAGTTCAGGCTCTCAGGACTTATTTTTGTAACAGTTAACAGTTTTTTGCTATTGTATCTTCTTGCAACTGGGGATCCCCTAGTACAGGCTTTCTGCTTAACAGGTTATCTTTACGGGTTGCTGTTTCTGCTTCATTTGAGACAGTTCTTAAGGATCTAATGCTTTGAGCAGTTTTAACATAAGTCTTTGAATTAGTGGTCCCAGCTAAACTGCATGCCACTAAAAATACTTTAGGCTTGGTTTTTAGCCTTTATGACGCTGATGCAATATGATGCTCCTGGGGCGCAACCTCATTTGTGACTTTGGGATTATCTCTCTTTGCACTAGTGGCAAAAGTAGGTACTGCTGTTAACTGTGACTAAGGAAGTTCATTTTTTTAATATATGCTTTTTGTTATACAATGTTTTCTGTTATAGAATGTTTTCACGTCTCCATTATAAGCCAGTATGACAGATGCAAGTCAACACTGATTCCTAACGGCACACATGCACATTCCCACTATGCATGTAAATTAACTTGTTAATCACATAGACATTCTCTTCATTTAATTAGTAAAAATATATAAAAAAGGAGATATGCCAGTTGTATAAGATTTCATACTTCTTTGTGACATCCTGCAATGGCAGGTATACTTGCGGGTACATGAGACAATTTTGAGTATACCTTATTTTCCACAAAGTTTTGCAGCATGTTGATCTATTTATTGGATTCTGCAACCAGTTCAAACTTGCCTAGGATATTTTTCCATGGTTTAGTCCGTGGGTTTTTCCTACACTCCCTGTTTTATTCCTTGTTTGGCTCTGTTAGTGAACTTCAACCTTTCTCTACTTTGTTATTATAATGGCATGTAGAACCACACTCATCCCTATCCGAGTTCACTGAAGTTTCTTCAAAGATGAAACTGGACTGCTGTGCTGTGTTGATCTGGCAGAAGCCCTGTACTCAAGCAAAACTTAGGGGTGACAGGCATGCAAATAGCAATATAATAGGAAATTATAAGAAGACATATTTTCTTTACATAACAAATTGCTATTATGTTTCAGTGTAAAGATTTCCAATGTGAGTCTACAGAGACAATAGCTACAAATGGGTTATGTCCTATTGGAACAGTAGTCTTTAGTATAGTATTTTGATAGTCTATTCAAAGTGCATCTCTGGTGTTATCTCACCCACTTATCTAGTTTAAAACTCTAACACTATTTTGAAGAAGACCTGGTGCAGAAAGTGCAAAAAATTCATCAAGACTGGCTGTGTATCAAGGGAAAGTTACTTCATCTATGTATCTTACAGATCCCCTTCTATAATGAATAAACATTATGTACACCATAAAGGTCTACATCCTAATGTTTCTTTCTGTGCCAAGTGTACTGTGCTCACTTTGTACAAGTAGAGTAAATGTGGTTTTTACTTTGACCATTCAAAGAGTCTACCAATTTCTTCTGCCTTCCAAGACAGAATTAATCTCAAATCACAGAGAATGGATTTGGGTGGCTAAATTATAACCGAGCAGAATTTGGGCTGCTGGGCTCAGTAACACTGTCTGTATACACTCCAAAAAAACAGATCTGGAATTTTAAGTGAGTGCCTGCTGCTGAATTATACGTAAAGACATCATAGTCAGAAGGAGGGCCTCAAACTCCAGATGTCTGAACAGAAAATAAAGATGACCAATTTCAAAATAAGATTTTTTTTTTAATTGCAGAATGTAAAGGTTTCTCCTATAACATGTATAAATTCTAGTATTCTTTGCAATTGCATTAGTGAATCTTGGCTGGCTAATGAATATGACATTGCTGTTTGCATCCCTGAAGGTGATGATATGCTATGCTAAAAAACGTGGACAGCAAGACTGCCTGTGGCATTTGCAGAGTAAAAATGCTAGTGTCTGAGTAAGACCTTCTTTTCAAATAGATTATTATAAATAAAATTGATCTGATAATTAGAGCAGACGGTGCAGTGGCCAAAATAGAACTGATGAATAATTTGAATAGTTATGTTCACTGTTGCTCACAGAAAAACACCTGGGTTCATAAACTGATAAATACTCCTTAAAACCACTTATGTAAAGGTAAATCATTCTTACGTGGTGAACAATTCTTACGTAACCCCCCCATCTTTTTTCCAGTATCTTGTGGTGGATATGACACTTATGCTTGGGTGAAAATAGCACTACAATCTGAATCCTAAAGATTATATATTTGCAGTACCGAACATCTATCTGCATATATTAAATATTTTCTTGCTTATATTCCATTTATCTGGATATTCATGCAAATGACCTAAAAAGAAAAAATATATGCAAAACACCTTCTCAAGTTCATATTTCACTACAGAAAGGATTTCTGTAAAGATCAATACCTGCATAATTTTAGAATAACACCATCCTGTTAACAATTAGCTTTAACCTTTTGTTTGTGCGATGTAACCTTACGTATCTATGAAGAGTTGAGGAAAAAAGGGCTTTGCAGTTAAGTTAGGAAACATTCCTTCTTTACTCCATTTTTAGTAATTTTTTATGAACTACTTAAATTGTTTTACGTGGTTATATATTTGGAGAATAGTATAAATTCTATACTTGCCTATTTTTGAAGTGGAATGAAAGCATATCATTGCAGAAAGTCAAGCCTTCATTCATTTCTTTGTCCTCTTAAAAAGACTGACAGCAAACACGGCTTTATGCAGTATTTACAGGGGATCCATCTCCTTTTGATGCACATCTTGTGCTTTACTCGTCAGTTAAAAGGACGAGATGGTAATAATGACACTCAGTTTTGCATCATCACTGGCTTCTCTACATCTTTCAAGTTTCCATATCTGGCTGGTCTACAGAAGAGTAGTAAGGACAACAATCAGTATATTGTCTAATTCTGAGTAATTGTCTAGACAATTTTTAGGAAAGAAACTAGCTATCGTTATATCCATGTTTGGCTTCCATTCTTACCAGCCTCCGTGAGTATTACCGTGGGATGCCTTGTGTGTGCTGGGAGAGGTGAAGAGAAGGAGGCGAAGGTAATAGAGAAATTGGCCTTGATAAATAGATCTCTGGAACTGGGCTGTGGGGGGGTGTGTCTGATTTTGAAGCATATTGTTGTGATTTTAAACACTTCAGAAAGTATGAGTTAAGTTTGTCTATCTATTAGTATGTTCTGGCTGCCATAAAACCAAAAATCTCTCTTGTGATACTCACAATCTTAGTAAAACTCAGTACTTGCTAATTGCAGCATATGCAGCGACACCACAGCAGCAGGTGATGGAAAGTGCCTTGCAGTGACTAATCCAACTTTGTATGTTAGATTTTAGAAGCTCTCCAGCATCTTGGCATGCTTGTTAGGGGAAGCTAATTAAATGAACAGAATAGTTTAGTGCCTGTTAATGTAACAGAGGCAGTCTGGAATTTCCTGGTAACAATGGAGACTGGATATTAAGTGGCACTTAAGTAACACTAATTAACAGGATCTTCCTCGAAAATCAGTCCCCCTACTCTCTTTAGCATCACTATTTGTAATGACATTACACTTTACAGAAACAAGTGCACAATACAGCTGTAGCAATTAAGACAAAATTGTCTATTTTAGATTTTGTTTTCAAAGCTTAATGAACACAGGTACCTTATGTTTACAAATCAAAACATTCAGCTTACTATATGGTCCCCAGCTAATCTGGCACAGGACTGAACATACCCTAAAAATGTCTGTCATCAGTCTTAAGAATCTGCTACTATAAGATGTAATGAGACAGAACGGAATTAGTTTAAGTAATAAATGTTTAATCAAAGAATTTTACATATTATTAACAGCATTCATTTGGCCAAACATCTACATGGTTGTAGTATCCTACTTGTATATAAAGTGGGAATGTATCAAGTATAGACTATGAAAGTGCAAATAACAATTCAAGGTTAGAGTTATTTTTTTACATTATAAAATTAACAGGTTTACAAAATAGTCTTGCCAAACTTTATTTTTGAATTGTAAAGTCAATGACTATGGTGTTAAAATAAGTACCAAGAAAATACAAATTTAATAGGCTAATTTCATGCTCATAAGAGTAACACGGAAACAATGGATATACTGCACAACCTAACGAAATTACAAAAAACCAGAACCCACAAACTTCACTATCTTCACAGAGAGCACTCTTACATATCTTACTGTAACTTTGCAAGACATCTCAAGGCAATACACAATCTTTTTGTGAGAATCTTTCTATTCAGAAATTACAATTCAAGGAAGCTATGTGAGTTGAACAACTTTCAGACCAATTCATGATGATAGTTCATGAAGAACTGTTTTAGTTGAAGGATTTTATACCATAGAACAATTTAAAACAGGTACTTTTCAAAGATGTCCAAAGGTTCATGATTATGTCAGGAGCAGGGCGGCTAGAGAAAAAGCTGGAAAATGAGTTGAGACTATTCTATTCCATTCTGTCTAAAGATGCTTGCAAAATGAACTAGGTTTTTATGGGGTAAGGGTAAAATACTCTTATTTAATTTTTTTGCTAATATGAACCTCGTGACTGCAAGGTTCAAGAGCTGGATTCGCATGATTAGTTACCAAAACACTCACTTGAACTCACAGTAATCAATACATAAACTTTGCTATCATGACACTTGCCTATACACACTCAGTAGTAATAAACTTTTATATCATATCAACAAATCTCTGGTAACAGTTAAGCAAAACTTAAAATGGAGTGTATGTAATTTGCTCATGTTATGACAAGTTTTGATTATATGTAATTAAAACAGCCATTTCAACAACTTACTCTAGTTGTAATTACATACTGTACCATTGTATCTCACTAACTGTAAATTGATGCTTTTAAGCAAATCTAAACCCAGTATTTTTTTGTCACGGTACAACAACTAGGAAAAGGGTTTTTTGTGTTCTTTTTTTTTAAATTTTTTTTTACACTGAACAGTAATCACACAGCAAATGAATATTGTGCAATTGAACAAACACCTAGCAGTGTTTTATTTATGCAAAAACACTGACCGAACATTTAGTTATTTACTGTAAAGGCAAGGCCATGGGTGGTTTTATGGAGGTCTTTGCAATTAATAGCATAGTTACTCCAGAACAGACACTGAATTTGAATTACTTGTTTAACTGTGGCAACTATCCAGTTGGGTTAGGCAAAGGCACCGTAACATGTTGAGCAGAATGTGTTATCTGAACTTTAATTGTGGGACTGGCTAATATATGAAAATTCTGTATTCCTATATTTTTATAAAATGTTACCATTAAAAGTAATTGCACTATTAGTGCATAGAATGCTTTGTAGAATTATGAAAACAAAGAACTATGATTGCACTTCCATTAAAGTGTCTCTTAAAATACAGCATAGCTGTTGCTAACTCACTGTATTTTAATATTTAAAATAACTGTTTAACAGCAGCATTAGGTTTTATTAACTTAAGATACAGGCTACATTTAATTAAATGCAGTCACCATGGCAACACATGCCAGTTAAATTTAGAGAAGCAATGCTACCCAGTGGTTTCTTTCACTGCTAAGAATTGTGGGATTGGTTTGATAGAGTAACACTGCACTGTTTCGTTAGGCTACTGCCAGCTAACTATTCACAGTTTGGCACATTTGGACTGTAAATAGACATGGAAAAATCTTTGATTTTAATGGGAAAGAATATCCCCTAAAACTTGTTCCTGGAGCAGTACTAAAGAGAAGCATTAAATACCTCCATTCACACTGCTAACAAAAAGGAAAAATTGAGTAAGGAAAAGTTATGGAAAACAAAACCAAAATGCATGAATTGCTAATGGTTATTTTGGTGAAAGAATGAGTTCTAAAAAATGGAATAAACTATTTCTTAGGAAAACCAGCCAAAATAATCAGTGTAAGCCTTTAATCCGTACTTTCAAGTTAAGGATCATCAACCTAAGGCTAAACAGATGCTGCATTGTATTAGGAATGTGGAATACAACCTACTTATTCCTTTTTCTTGAGAGCAAAAAGGCAAGTACTACCTAATTAAATGCAAAGGATATTCCTTGAAAGGTTCACATTATTATAAAGAACTACAATTCAAGAGAACTCCTAAATATCCGTTGTTATGTCAGTGGTTACAACTGAGCTGTAATTATGTGGATCAAAGCCTCCATAATGCTTACTCCACATACTGTACCATCTGTCACCACCATTCATTTACTCCAGATTTAGTTTTTATTCATACCAGATGCACATGTTCAATCCATTCACTTGAGGTTTGAGGAGTCTGACTTGAAGTATCTCCTGAAGCATCCAGGGTGCTTGTTACCTCCCTGTTATTATCACCACTTTGTGATACCGTTTCACCTGCAACAATGTTTTCTTCAGAAGTTATTTCCTCTGTTTGGGTTCCTCTGCCTTCGTTTTTGAGTGCATCCTCAAATAGTGCATGCTCTTCCTGAGGCTCCAGCCCTGTGTCTATAAGATTTGGTTGCCCTGCTGACCCATCTTCAGTACTGGGTCGATGTGAATCCTCATCTGTTTCTGTACTTGTTGAGGGGATCAGAGCAATACTCTGTGGGTTCATGTCATGAAACCAGGCCATAATATTTCCAAGTAGGTTTTCATTGGTATTGGGATCTTGACTGCTGGAATCAGCGTCACTAGAAGTTGAGTACAATCCACTTCTTGTATCGCTGCAGGGGTGTGAATGAAGACGATCAGCTGAAAAAGGATCATTGCCTGCACCTAGTCTCATCAGACTGTCACCAAGTTCTAACAGCTCAGAGCTGCTCAAAGCGCCTCTTGGGTTATCTATACTTATGGGAGCAGAGTCCAATCTTGTAGGCAAAGAGGTACCTATTGCTCCTAAAGATGCCTCATTATTTAGAAAGTCTCTAGTTTCTTCATCTATGGCCAAGCCAGATTCTTGTAATGATAACTGAATAGCTAGCAGGATGTTTGGGTCATCTTCATCCAAAGAACTCAGAGCCTGTGGAAATACATAAGGTTGCTTTCAGAATAAAACTTCCATCTTGTTACATATTTTGGAACAAACGTAATTTAGGCTCAAATCTGAAATTCATTCATTATTCCTACATGTCATTTATCAATCAATTTTTATTGACACAGCTGACAACAGAATTTAAAAGGTGACTATTGTTACATTAGTGATTGTTTAGCAATTCTTACCGGTGCGAATGTACAATTTGTTGTCCTAGATTCTCCCTCTCTCATTGAAGAATTAAGAAAATTTGCAGAGAGACAAAATGACACAGAAAAGCAGAGCAGAGGAAGGCAAGCAAAGCAGAGAGAATGGAAAAGAGATTAGGGGAGATACCTGAAGAGAATCCTGGTTTTCAGAGTGACTGACAGGGGTATAGTCATGAAGCGAAGAGCTGTGCAGAATACCCATAGAAGCTGAACTCACCATGGAGGTGCCATGTCTTCTACTACTGCCACCTTCCTGAGTGTCTGTTTGGGCAATTGAAACAAAAATGGTTGAAGAACCAGTGAGGAAGCCTTCTCCACTATTATTTACTGACAGACTCTCTTCCTTCCTTTTGGATTCCAGCTGTGTAATTTTACTCCTTTACTCACTCTGAATGAAATAATCCAAAACACTCCTTCCACACCAACTCTTACACAGTGGCAAAACACAACTTCCACTGTTTTAGGAGTGACTGCCTGGTTCATTTGTGCCTTTCTGCTCTCAATACCCTTCTTCTTCTCTTTGAAAGGATGGGGTATGCCATCAGGAGCATGAGCCCGTTGGCAGGAGGGGCAAAGTGCTTCTAAGGCACATAAATGATTTATGGAAAGTCCTGAAAAATACTGCACATGGACACAATACAGGATGCATTTACAGGTGGATTACAACCAAAGTTTGTCCATTTCTCTGTTCTTTCAAAGACAACAACTCAGCTGTAGTATTAACATTACATTATTTTTTACCATAACGTTGCAGCGCAATTAAGAGTAGAGTCGTTAGTGTATACCTCAGCAATCACTGACATTGCTGTTTTCTTAAAACAACCAGAAAAAAAAGTAAAATTCTGTTTCCAGAAAAATTGTTCTCTAATAAAAGTAAATGTAACTGTTTTGACTTTGGAAAATGGAATTTGCCACTTCAAAACTCAAAATGAAGTAAGGTGAGACAAACTAATTCTCTCTTGCATGCTTTAACAGTATGCACTGGTCATTGCTGCAATATCCAAGTGTTCAGTCAAATTCTAGTCCTCAAACTAACAAGACTGTTTTGCATTTTACTTGTAATAGGGAAGGACCAAAGTTCACCAAAATTCTTTTTACTGTTTCTAAAATAAAGAATGCATTTGTTTATTTCTCCTCAGTAAAGGATTTTGCCTTTTGTTTTTAAAGGACAAGCTATGTATAGGACTTAAGTTCATGAGACACGGAGATGAGAGTTTGTGCAGCATGGCTTAAAGACCGAGCATACAACTGGCAGCTCTGAAGAAACAGCGCCACAGTATGACTTGGATCCGAGCTATTTTTGTACCTTTGCAAAAGCTCCTGGCAGAATGGAGACAGCCCAGACAGCCAAGTTACAGTGACCTTAAGCGACTGTGCTACCAGCTGTAGCACTGCTTAGAAGAGCAGCATGCTGGAAGTCGTAGCCCATACTAGCTTGTTTCCTGGCTGTCTTTGCCAATACAGGAGTTTCTGAGCAGGGTTTTGGAATGCAGCCTTATGACTATCTTCCAGCAGGCCTGTAGCAGGGAAACCCTCTTCTACAGTCTTTATGCCCAACTGGTCCTTTTAATTGGCATAAAAGAGCTCGTATATAGATAAGGCTGTCATATGAAGTATGTGCTCTTCAATATTTCTTCAGAAAAGCAAACCTGCTCTAAATAGCTGAGGAGTCATTGTGGGAAGATCAATGTATTTCTCTTTAAAAAGAGGAGCAGCCACAATGAAGTCAGCAACGCTTCATAGAATCATCATAGAATACCAGGTTGGAAGGGGACCTCAAGGATCATCTGGTCCAACCTTTCCTGGCAAAAGCATGGTCTAGACAAGATGGCCCAGCACCTTGTCCAGCTGAATCTTAAAACCTTCAAGTGCTGGGGAATCCACCACTTCCCTGGGGAGATTATTCCAATGGCTGATTGTTCTCATTGTGAAAAATTTTCCTCTTGTGTCCAATTGGAATCTCCCCGGGAGTAACTTGTACCCATTACCCCTTGTCTTTTCCATGTGACTCCCTGTAAAAAGGGAATCTCCATCTTCTTTGTAGCCACCCTTTAAATACTGGAACATAGTGATAAGGTCTCCCCTAAGCCCTCTTTTCTCAAGGCTGAACAAACCCAGTTCTCTCAGCCTTGAGAAAAGAAGGCTTAGGGGAGATCACATGCAAAGATGCAAAAATAAGTCTTTATGTTGTATCGTGGAAAATACAGCAATGTATTTGAAACTTCTTTAAAGTGCATCCACAGAAGAACAAACACTGTGATCACTACTAGCAATTTCTGAAGCAGGAAGAGAGAAAAAACAGCCCCAGGCAGGAACGTACCTAATGTACTCTCACTGGGGTCATCAGGATCTGGAGTATTACTCAGCAGACTATGCATGTCTCCACGTCGACGCTGTCTATGCCTCCTCCGATACTGAAATTCAGCATATTCCTGCATAAACCAAAGGTTACAAAATACAGGGCAGCATGCAGTAATATTTTTCTGATGTAACAAGCACCACATTTTTATAAAAAAATGTGTGATTTTATAGGTTTCTCATAAAATCACCTGTTTTCAGAAAAATAAATTGCAAGTTATATCATGCAATGCTTAAAACAAATAATTAAAAAAAAATCCAAGGTAATCCTAAATCTATAAAATAATGAATTAGCAAAGAAAAATCCTTGATGTGTTACTGACATTTTAATACTTGCAATCTCCCTTTTTAAAGAATTCCAAGTACCCATTTTTTGTTTAAAAGCGTTGATGCCAAACTTTAGATACACACGTATTGACACACTTTTTAATAAATATATACCTAGTGATTTTAGAACATAAAAATGATTAATCTGAATTAGACCAATGGATTATCTCAGGGTCCTCGTTGCCAGCAACAGCCAGTAGAAAATAACCTTTGGAAGACTATAGAAAGCTGGCAGACATACACGGGGACCTGTTGCACTTTTCCCAGCCTCCAGGACACTATGGGTCAGGAACTTCTTAAGCCACAGCTGATACTCTTCTACTCAACAGTCTTTGATGGATTTTTATTCCATGAATTACAAATTACTGAACATGAGCCAGCAGTGTGCCCAGGTGGCCAAGAAGGCCAACAGCATCCTGGCTTGTATCAGGAATAGTGTGGCCAGCAGGAGCAGGGAGGTGATTGTCCCCCTGTACTCGGCGCTGGTGAGGCCGCACCTGGAATACTGTGTCCAGTTTTGGGCCCCTCAATACAAGAAAGACATTGAGGTGCTGGAGCGTGTTCAGAGAAGGGCAATGAAGCTGGTGAAGGGTCTGGAGCACAGGCCTTATGAGGAGCGGCTGAGGGAACTGGGGTTGTTTAGCCTGGAGAAGAGGAGGCTGAGGGGAGACCTTATCGCTCTCTACAACTACCTGAAAGGAGGTTGTAGTGAGGTGGGTGTTGGTCTCTTCTCCCATGTAGTTAGCGATAGGACGAGAGGAAATGGGCTCAAGCTGCGCCAGGGGAGGTTTAGGTTGGAAATTAGGAAAAATTTCTTTACGGAAAGGGTGGTCAAGCATTGGAACAGGCTGCCCAGAGAGGTGGTGGAGTCACCATCCCTGGAAGTGTTCAAAAAACGGGTAGACGTGGCACTTCGGGACATGGTTTAGTCTAGTCTACCCTTGATTGGTTTAGGTGGGCTTGGTAGTGTAGGTTAATGGTTGGACTGGATGATCTTAAAGGTCTTTTCCAACCTAGACGATTCTATGATTCTATGATTCTAAATCTCCTCTATTTTTGCCTAACTTGAGCTGCTGCTGAGCCATACCATACAGATTTGAACTCCTGCAGCCTGTAATTTCTCATGTTGTATGTATTTACCAAAGACAGTTTATATAACATTTACGGAAAAGACTCACTTTTGGCCACATCAAGCTAATATCCCAAGGGTTAATTATCTTAATACTTGGAAATAAATGCTTTGATTTCCACGCTTTTCCTAATATTAAGAGACTAATTTTATGCCTGAAGGCAAACTTCCAGATATGCTTTCTGGTTAGTACAGCTGACACTGAACCTGACTGTGTAGGTAAGATCTCTTCTAAGATCTCTTGTTAATCTCAGTTATTAATTTACACAAGGTAGTAAAAATATACACACAGCTCTTCTCTTTGGAAAAGAATATTGCTATTTTCTTCCCTAAGCCCCAGGTTAGGAAATCTGTAATCCAAAGGCTTCATTTGGCCAAACGACTTGGGAAAGGCAACATTACCATTAGTTTCCTTTCTTACATTAACTCTTCATCCTAGAATATCTCAACATCTCAAGTATCTAAAATTTAAATCCAGAAGTGTCATTTCTCTCACACAATGACCTTATTAATTTTGATGGTATTATGATGGTATGTTGTCTTTCCATGAAGTGTTTCAGACCAAGTTCTTATGCGTAATGACATATGCAAGCCAAAAAGAATAGTCACAATATGATCAGTGTGGGCAGATTTCTATCTATGTAAGAAGATCCATGAAAACTGTAAGAACTTAAAAATAGCTGTACTGGACCAGGCAAAAGGTCCATTTAGCCCAATATTCTGTCTTCAACGGTAGTTAGTTACTTGTTAGATGCTTGTTAGCCTATGGAATGGCATAAAAAACAGGGCAAACATGAAGTGGTTCTTCTCTAAAGTACTCTTCCAGCTCCAAGGGAGCTCAGGGATTTCCCAAATGGAAGGCAGTGCCCGAAACAACAGAAAATCAAATCTTGATATGAAACAATATAACTGAATTATTTTAAAAATATATTATATAACTATGAATTGGATAAGGAATAATGAGAAGTGATCACTGAACACTATGATTTATTAGTCGTATCAGATCTTGTCTCTTATCTGTGTGCAATAAAATCACAGATTTTACTGAATGCCATTTAACTTTTGGTTGCTTTTTAACCTTTAGAAAGATATGTTGATTACTACTGATAAAATTTTAATTCTGATTACTTGGAACAATGTTATACAAGTGAACAAAAGGAGTTTTAATTTTATTGGGTAGGAACATCATAGTTTCACACAGTGGTCTGCAACAAGCAGTGGTCCTTGCTAAAACCAGTAAGATTTTGTTTTCTGTAATAATCTGGTATACACAGACATTCTACTACTTGTCAGTATAAGTACAGCTCTATATAAAAAATTTTGTAAAATAAACAAAGATGACCATTATAAATTCTACAAAATTCCTTTAGCATAGGTGGTTGCAAGTATCCTTCACAGCTATGTAGCAAAGAAACCAACTTGCATCATACGGTGCCACATTTAGGCAAATCACAAAAACTCATAAGCAATCATCTAAGCACAACTGCAACAGCACCTACTGCTGAACAGCTTATCAACATATTTCTTATCAGCTTTTTCTCATAACCAGTTCCACTGATGATACAGTAACATTACAATGAATTGGATATTATCAAACGTGGAATTATTTCAGAAGAAAGGACTAGAGGAACTAGACAGGAGAAGCAAGTTGATCTTTTGTAGAGAAGCAAGCTATTTTCTCACCAGCGAGATGCTCACCAACGACAATAGCAAAGGAAATATATAGGAAAAGTACATGGAGTTTTCCAGGATGCTTTAAAATGACTAGCTAGAAAGAAAACAGCACCAAGGAAATGTTGAAATGAAGTTTCCTTCCTTACTGAATGCTTTAATCTAATGTTCTCAAAATATTAAATAAAAATTAAGATGATAAAGGAAAGCTTTATAGGAAGCTCCTCATATTTTAGTGCAGAGTCTTGAAAATTATTTGCTCTTTCCCATATACAGATAGTGGAATATTCACTGTAAAAATTTTAATTTTCATTCTTGGTTAAGTAACAGAAGTTCATCTCATTTTCTTAGTTAAGTAACAGAAGTTAATCTCATTTGAGTATGCAATTTCCATCCTGCTTCAATACATAAAAAGAAACATTTCAAATGGCTAACAACATTTAGGTGTATGCCTGTATGTTTTTGTTGGATTATTACAGAAGGATGGAAATTTCTTAGACTTTTTGTCAAATTTTGCTGAACTGATGTTGCATTCAAAAGTAATCTACACAATTTCATATATTTATTACTTGAAGGTTCCCCAGCACATAGACACCAGTTTATACACAATTTTAAAACTGGTTATGTACTTGGAAAATGATGAATATAACATAGCTTGTCTATTGCCACCTTAAATAGCTATAGCCATGTTAGAGGCATTGTTTACAGTCACTGCACAATTAGCTATGCATATATTTCCTTCTATTGTGAAATAAATAAAATGGCAAGCTTAAACCAACTTGAATCAAAATAAGGAAGCTCTTCATGCAGATTGCAATCATACCTGTGTTTCTAGAATATGCAGAACTAAGTTAAAAAAATAAAAAGAAATAGTTTACCTCAGGGGATGCAAATCCTAAATATTCCCAATCCCATGTTCCACCAGCAAAGCTATAAAATGAAGAGATATACCATAAAGTTTAGAAGTAGAACAAAATATGAAGAACCTCCAGAGCTTCAAAACCTATCAACATCTAAAAAGTAGTGCAATTGTTAACTCTCTAAACTTAACAAGTCTGCTGATTAACTCTTACCTAAAAATTCATTTAGAAAACCATACAATTAAATTGTTGACTATTCCAGAACTGCTCGATATTTTTAGCACAGACTTATAGATTTTTGGAGCGTACCAGGTATTTAGTGACAATCTTGAAGGAAAAAAGTGGAATGGAAGCCACGACATCTAATCAGTAATATATCACAAATGGGGAAGCAATTTAGGCTGCAACATACAGAGCAGTGATTCTCAAATACACTTTTCCTAAGTGAAAAGCTGTCAAATGTCCAAGAAAATGTCACTATCTGGTGATTTACAACCACCGTGTTTATCAGCTCCACTTTACCTCACTGTCAAAGAATGGCAGTGGATTCACGCACTTTGGCAGCTATCAGTGAGCTTTTTTTGACTTGCACAGTATCTTGTTCAGATTACCTGCGCCTGGGTGCTTCTGGTGAGTCTGCAGGGGCAACACCACGGGCCACAGAGGCCAGGAACTCTTGCCGTTTCTGCTGCACAAGACACGCTGCACGGATTATTTTATGGCGAGGAGTCCGAAGGTAAGGCCTGTTCACTTTCTGTGCAAGGTCTTCAGTGACCATTTCTAGGTCTGTCTGCAATAGTTAATAAATACAGGATAAAATAATTTTACAATGAAAGGAAAACTGGGCAGAGCTCTACACCATAAATACTGAGCAGAATGATATCCATTTTCCTGGAGATACCATTTGAAATACCAAAATACCCCAAAATGTCTGCCCTTCTAGCCTACCCTTCTACTGACCTAAACGCTGTCCTCCAGCTTGGAGCAGGGCTTCCCTGCACTCACACATATTGAACATCTTCAGGGGTCCTAAAGGAAAGGAAAGGAGGCAGCAGCCCCTGCTGCTGATGCCACCGCCACCCAGCTACTCGCCCAATTTTGCCCCCACCCACTTGTCAGACACATTAGTAGGTAAAGACAGGAAAGAGGTGCTAGAGAAGGAGATGAAGACTGAAGCTGAAATGTTATCCTCAGAAAGCAGATTAACAGTAAATAATTTTCTTTGTTACCCCTTCCACCTGTCCTTATCCCTTTCCTTCTTCAGCAAAGTGTTGTTTTTCATTCATTCTAAAATTGAACTAAAAGCTACTGTGCCACAGAGCAATAAAAATGGACTAATTTTCCAAACTTCGTTACAAATACAAAACGGGTATATCAGTTTTACACTACAAGAATGGCAAAAAGACACTGATAACTAGCACTACCAAAAAACCTAACATTAGAAAAGCAAAATATATGCATGTATTACCTGCATAAGTTCAAATATTTCTTTCTTTGTGCTTTTAGGCTCCAAAAAGAATCCATATGGGTAAGAACACTTAAGAATGCGTCGAGTTTTTAGAAGCTCTTGCACTGCATCTTCAATGAATGTGGTATCAGGACAGCCTCCTTCAGCTGTAAGATGAAACAAGCATTGTGCAAATATTTTCCT